AGTAACGCGTTACTGCCCATCTCTGCTCAGGAATTCCTTTCTGTCAAAAATGAACTGTAGTAGTCCTTAATCCAAGACTAGCATGGGGGTTGCAAGCCAATCTCACTGGCTCTCCAGCCCGAGGCACCGTCCCTGAATCTTTATGCTGCTCCTGTCTAACTGCAGATAGTCTTTCCATATAAGAGTTCAAACTTTTGATTGCCTTGCCTTAGACAAGGATTATACGACTTTGTAGTTTATTTTGTGGGCTTTCTTGCTGTGAATATCCTCTTTCTGTTAGCCTGAGGGGTATGAATGGCAGTACCAAAATATGATTTTGTTCCATCAGATCTCTACGCTGGAAGAAAGGCTACAGGCACCAGTGTTGGAAAATGGAGAGAACTTCTCTGTTGGTGAGAGACAACTGATGTGTATGGCTAGGGCTCTACTCCGTAACTCCAAGGTGTGTACACACACATAACACCTTCGATGATACTAAATTTAATTTGCAAATACTGTTTATTGGCTGGGATACTGCTGCCACATTAGCTTGTGATGTCTCTACCAATATTTTCATTAATTACCATTGTGTGCATTCAAAGTGTATAATAACATAAGCACTGTAAACATTTTTGTATTTTATTACACTTTTGCCATCCACAGTTTTATTCTTTCTAACCACCATTACGCTGGTTATTTTTTGGCAGATTATTCTTTTAGACGAAGCCACAGCATCCATTGATTCAGAAACAGATGCTCTAATTCAAAACACCATCAAAGAGGCCTTCAAAGACTGCACCGTGCTCACCATAGCGCATCGCATCAACACTGTTATGCATGCAGATCGTATTCTGGTCATGGACAAAGGACAGGTACCAAAACCCCCCCAAAAAAACAACAACAAATGAACACAAATCAAAGATGATTACACAATCTTTAACTTAAACTCACTAAGTGTTCTGTTCGACAGGTGGCAGAATTAGACCATCCAGATGTGCTGAAGCAACGGCCAAACTCTCTGTTCTCATCACTCCTGACAGCTGCTAATACAGTAAACTCCTGAACAGAAGGACAACCAAAAAAAACTGCTGCATAGTAGTCACTGGGCATGTCCATAACAGTTATCCATATACACAGCCATATCGAAGTCTGTACTGTGATACGACAATCTTTTCTGGTGTGCTTGTATGAGATGTAACTGAGCAGCAGAGATGGAAACTGATAACAGTGCAGGAAAGACAACATAACTATTTACAAAGTTCAAAAACTATGTATTTATCTCTCCTGTCTGCTGATACAAAAGAATGAGCACTGTACTTTACTGGGTTTCCCTTCATATTTCGAATGAGATGACTTCTTATGCATGTTATAGTTTAATTACGTTATGTATTTGCCAAGTCTTTCTTTGCTGCCATTAAATGTAATTTAAATCTCCTGTTTTTTATTTCATTGTTTTTTGTGAGACATTGAAATTTACAATGCATTTTTTTTTGAAGTGTAGGTATATACAAATGACCCTGATAAGATCTGTGCTAATAAATTACCAAAATTTGTATGTTTCAGTATTAATTAGTATTTTTAAAAAAGAAATTATATATATAGCGGTATTCTCTTTGTTTATTTAAACAGGTTGTGGGGGAGGGCACCAGCAACCCTATGCTGGATATGCAGTTAACATGCTGCCACCTGCTGGCTGCATCCTGCTGCATGTCACCAAAGCTGCTGCCCAAAACTCAGCAAATGTAACTAAATAAATTGTCGTTTTGTTTCATGAGTGACAGTTGGTGACGTAGGACAGTTAAATAATAAAGCCAACAAATCTCTTATCAGCAGTGTATTTCCAAAGCAGCTGGAAAGAATATATTCTAGGAAGAAAGCTGAGAAATGGCACATCATCAAATCACAACTTTCACTGGAGATTTTACAGCATTAATACCACCTGTAGGTGCTGTGAGGAGAGCTAGCATGCTTAACCTTTCAATGTAAATCTATGCCAAATGTCTTTATATTAAAAAAAAACAACAACAACAATTTCAGATGTTTTACTCTAACTAGTAAATCTAGTGTTAGCGATATTGTTCTTTAACTTCTAAGGCTCGGGATTAAAAGGTGAGGTGGTGGAGGAGACAACACATATACAGGGCAGATAACAAAAGAAAAGCAAGCAATTTATCATTATTAGTGGTTTACAAAACAAATGAAAAACTCAAAGATGTCACAACAAATAAAAATCTGCTAGCATAAATAAAACTCAGTTATTGGCTGAGTGACAGGTCCCGACCTCTTAGGTCCGCCCTTCACCCCTTCTGATCCTATTGGCTGAGTTCTGAGTCCTGTAGCCAATGGATGCATTCCAGGGCATATATAAGCTGACTTTGTAATTGGTTTTAAGAATGTTGGGTGCTTTTGTGTATGCTGCTCTTCTTAGTTTGATCCCTCCCCCCAATACAATGATTGTCATTCACAAATCCTCATATTTACTTAATAAATACTTTGTGTGTGTTTCAATAAGGAACTTAAATGACAGTTATTTACTTGCATTTCTGAACAGAAAAATAAAAATCTTTTAGTGGTCAAATTTTATGCTTGATTCATTTCAGACTTCTCAAACAAGTCCAGTCTACCAGCCCACATTTTGGTAAACAAATCTTTTTAGCCACCACCGCGTCACTGAATGTTTACATTTGATTTAGTGCAGTTGTCTATTAACTGGTGGAAAAAATTAAGATGCTATGCAATTACAGGTGCATGCAAAAAACAAGCAATCGGCTAAAAGCTAATAAGATTTTGGGGGGGGGGGGTTTAACTCTTAAATTATTCATAATTTAACTCAACATTTTGTCAGCAACATTGGAATATAACTGCAGTAAGTTGGCAAAACATGGTTTTACAGTTTGTTACAATATTTTATTTACTGTAGATTTTTTTTAAATACAACACAGATACACAATTATAGATTTAAACTTTAAAGACAAAGACAATAGAATAATTAACATTTTTAAAAATACAGAATAGTCATTAAAATAGTAATCTAAATACATGTGCCTACTCCACAGATGTTCTTTGGTTTCAAGGTTTACTTTGTTTCACAAATTTACAGTGTTTGAAGCAGTCAGCAGTAATGAGAACATAGAGAATGGCTGTTGCTTCAGTGTATTTGGATCATCCAACTCTGCCACCTGTCATATGGAGCAATTAGTAAGCATAAGATGACACAACATTAATCTGTGCATATTTGGGGTTGTTACCTGTCCATTGTCCATGACCAAAATACGATCTGCTTGCACCACAGTGCTGATCCGATGAGCTATTGTGAGCATAGTGCTATTACGTAAGGCTTCTTGGATGGTGTTTTGGATCAGAGCATCTGTCTCTGCATCTACGGAGGCAGTGGCTTCATCCAAAAGAATGATCTGCTCAAGAAGAGGACAGACCATTAGTATAAGCAAAAACAGTTTTAAAGGAGGACAGCATGTCACAATACATAAAACGCCCATACTTTCTAAATACAAACGTGGCGATTAGCAATCTCATACAAACGTGAGACATTACAGAATAGTTTGAAGAACAGGCCCATAATAATCATAACCCTTAACCAATTTCAATTTGGCCTCTCATTCATTCACGGTCATGGGGCCCCGTGAATTCGAGCCCCGGCTCAGACAGTCTCGGTCATCATGTCCTTGGGCAAGACACTTCACCCGTTGCCTACTGGCGGTGGTCAGAGGGCCTGGTGGCGCCAGTGTCCGGCAGCCTCGCCTCTGTCAGTGCGCCCCAGGGCAGCTATGGCTACAGTGTAGCTTGCCATCACCAGTGTGTGAATGGGTGGATGACTGAATGTAGTGTAAAGCGCTTTGGGGTCCTTAGGGACTAAGTAAAGCGCTATACAAATACAGGCCATTTACCAGTCTCATTCACTTCTGGGCCATTTTGAGCATGGCTGCCCTTTTTTGATTCCTGAAAAGTCCCATTATGAATCAGAGAAGTCCGTAAAAATAATTTGCCTTTGTCTTAAGTTATTTTTTTGTATTTTTTTCCACAGGAAGTTGGCCACAGGGTGGCAGACCTCTTCAACAGATACCGAGTGAAGATTATGTTGCAGTGGCCATGTAGAGAGGAAAAAACAGACAGAGACAAAATACTGGTGACTGCCTGTGGTGCCACTCAGCCTCCTATGTACGAATTTCAAAATCTTACATCACCTTGTTCTCAAGTTTTTATACTCAAGATTTTTAGAAATTTGAGATTCAACTCTGTCTGAGATCTTTAGTAAATATGTCTGTGGTCTCAATTTGACGCTCCTACGTCACCTCAATCTCAAGTAGCATTCACAAACTTAGGTGTACATGCTGTTCATCTGCCCTGCAAAGTGACGACAATACCCTACCAGGCTTTTAAGGCTTAGGGGTACTTCTGAAGAGGAATCTAAACATTGTACTGATGACCTCAAGGGGAAAAAATTAAAATCAGAACAGATTTGCGATGTTTAAGGACAGTGCAGAGCATATTGACAGAGTCGCAGGAAATTGCTTTGACTGGCATCAGTGAATGCAGTATGTGACAGCATTGTCCCAGCCAGGTGACAAACCATCAAGCCCCCCACCAAAAAAAGTGCACTCTGACCTTGGAGTTACGGAGTAAAGCTCTAGCCATACAGATCAGCTGTCTCTCGCCTACAGAGAAGTTTTCTCCATTCTCCATAACATGCGCTTCAAGCTTCCCCTCCAGCTTTGAAATCTGAGGAAACAAATCACATTACAGCTCCACTCCACTATCCTAATTCATCATGTATACAAACAAAGAGCAGAGAAAAAAAAAAAAAAAAAAAAGGGCTGTATAGGAATTTTAAATGTACCAACTTTCACGTTGCACTCAAAACATACCGAGTCCTTCATGTAGCTCTTCTCAAGCGCTGCCCAGATCTCCTCATCACTGTATTTATTAAAGGGGTCCAAGTTGTACCTGCAGGGATGGGGTTCATTAGCCAGTTACTGATCCACAGTGGTCAAACCAATGTGAGATTTAAGGGTTGGCCAAGGTTACCTGACTGTACCAACAAATAGCACAGGGTCCTGAGGAATCACAGACAATTTGCTACGCAGGTCTTGCAGGCCAATGGACATGATGTCCACCCCATCTATCAGTATGGTTCCTGCTGCAGGCTCCACAAGTCTAAATAGAGCTACTCCTAAAGACGATTTTCCTACAGATGCAAACCGCAGATTAGAGTAGCTCAATTAACCTAAAACGGTTAAAATTTACATTAAAATGTGCTACATAAATTATTTTAAATCAGGAATATGGGAGGATTTAGAGTCAGTCACTAAACTTTCAGCACAACCAGGTGTAGGCAGGGGTGCCATCTACCTTAGAGGGTTGGGGTGGGGGAATAATAGCAACAATAAAAAATAAATTAATAAAAATTAAAAAAAAAAAAACCCTCCTACCATTAACTAATCTTCTTTATTAACCAATCTTCATCTTAATTATAATCAGCTTATCTTTATTAAGAAGTTATTTACCACAGGCCTTTAATGTGGCAGTAATTAAACCATTATTTAAAAGCCATCACTTGACCCAGCTATCTTAGAGACTGGCCTATAATTGGCTAACTTTATCTCAAAAATTCTTCAAAGTAAAACAGCAGTTTCAGTCAACTTTCAGAGCTCACAGTCCAGAAATGGAACAAGTGAAGGTGGCAAATTGTTTTCTTCTGGCCTCCTACAGTCAACTCTTTGTTCTTGCCTTGTTAGACCTCAGCGTTTGCTGTTACAGTTCCACAGGGTTCTGTGTTGGGACCATTTCTGTTTACATTATATGAGTTTCCCTTAGGCAGTGTTATTATAAATAGCATACATTTTCATTGCCTGATGATACCCAGACTTATGAAGCCTGTTGACACACACCAATTAATTAAACTACAGGAATCTCTTAAAGAAATTAAAACCTGGATCACCTCTAATTCCCTGCTTCTAAATTCAGAAAAAACTGAGGTTGTTGTGCACTGCCTTATCTTAGAAACATTACCTTGGCCTCCAGTAACATTGAGGATATTAAACAAACTATGTAGGACTGCCTCCCTATATTTGCACACTCTAAGATTAAATTGCCTGTCTCAGAGTGATGTTGAAAAACTAGTTCATGTATTTATCATCATTTCTAGGGTGTATTGTTGTAAATCATCATCACCCAAAGACTAGATGAAATCAACAAGAGAAACAGCTACTGAACCCAGAGCCTTACCAGAGCCAGTCCTTCCCACGATCCCCAGCTTCTCTCCAGGTTGAATGTGGAAATCAATGCCGTTCAGGACAATTGGTGCATTCTCTCTGTACCTCATCTTATAGTCTACGAAGGTGATGCCCCCACTGCTAGGCCAGTCCTGTGGGATCTGAGTCTCCTTAACATGCCTGGGAGCCTCAGACTTACAATCCTGCAAACACAATTAAAAATTTACAGGGATCAAGCAGATGGGTGTGTAGGATGTTTAATGAACTCTGGCCTTGGTCTCAGCAAAACAATGACAGGTGAATGATTTCAGGACATGAGTCTGACCGTGACATATTCCTGGAGCCGTTCCGCTGAGTTGAATCTTGCTTCCACTTCTATCGAGAATCTGGCTACAAGTTGAAGCATGCCTGTCAACTGAAAATGAGTTCAAAAATTATGTAAATCCATGTCTGAAAAGCAAAATGAACATGGATTCATGTGCTGTCCAAATGTACCTGCAAGGAATAGGATATCGCGAGGCCTTTCAAGGATGGACTGATTAAGTCATTACTGCTGAGCACTACAAAGAGAGCCACAAACAGCGTCGTAGTAGCAGCCATTAATTCCAGGCAGAAGGTGAATGCACGTGTGCCAGCATTAAACATGAAAAGGTATTTGGAGTTGATATCAGTCAAGATATTGAACCTGTAATATAAAACAGGAGTTTTTGAACATCCCACTGTCCACAGTCACCCCGCCCCAAAGAAACATACAATTTACAATGATGCGTTGTATCAAAAACATTGCAAAAGCAAGAGGTGATAGCTTAGTGACAAATTTCAGAAACTCACTGTTCTATAAGGCTGTCTCTTTTACTATAGGCATGGATGGTGCTGAGGCCATGCAAAGTTGAGGTGGTTAGAGAGAACCATGGAGAGAGACTGATGTTTTCTAGATTCTTCATATGACGTATACTCCTCTGGAATACACTGCAGAGAAGCCACAGATATATAGTACCTTAGAGGACCTGTTACTGTCAGTAAGTGTGTTTTATAGATTTAACCAGCATAAACTCACAAGGCAGTAAAGGCAAGAAAAGCTGCCATAATAACTGCAACTACAAGCATGGCGGGGAAAATAACTGAGATGACAAGAATTGTGGATGCGACGAGTAGAGAACACCGTAAGAAAGAGCCCATGACAAGAGGAAGGACCATTTCCACTTCGTCTTGATCTTTAGAGAAACGATTTAGAAGTCGGCCCGTTGGAGTTGTGTCAAAGAAACTCATTGGACTATCAATGATCTGCAATAGGAAAACAAACAGTTCATTTGTAGCTAGTAAACGTTCCCAGTTTTGGATCCAATACATTTGTGATAAGTAAATCCTTATCCATATTTAAAATGAGCATGTGTAATGGTGACTAGCAGAGATTTCTATGGTGCTGAGAATTCACAGTACCTTTCTGAACAGCATGTCATGGAATTTGCAGGAGGCCTTCAAGGTGAAATAAGTGTAGATTATGATGTCCACAATGGAAAGTACAACAATGACAACCGCTGTTGTAGCATAAATAACCTGGTAGAAGTGAAGGTGTGGATTTTGAGAGATTTCTCCCTGGACTGCAGTTGTGTTACTGGATGACTTGGAAATAAAAACATAAATTAATAAAAAAACGAAAAGTTAGTGAAGTCAGACAAAGTCATTGTATACATAAACGAATGATTTCCTAAAACTAGAAATAAGCAGAATTTGAGGAGTCAGAAACAGTTTTTCGCTTGCTACATCTGCCAGGCTTGGTCTATAATGTGTGGCTCTCTGGATTTTAAATCACGATACTTCTCACTCAAGTTCTTGACACTCAGACATACAACGTTACCACAGGATTTCATCTCCTGCTTTGTGAGCATCAATTACTTTTCCTCAAGATTTCCTCAAACTGATTTCTTATGTTTCAGGGATGACGCTTACTTAAGTGACAGCTAAAACCCTTGCTGAAATTTTTATACTGTCTTCAAGCTGAAAGCTGACCCTCAGGCATTCGATGTATTTTAAGGGGCAAGTGCATGGAAACTAGAGTGAGTGTGTAATGACCAAAACAAAGTGACAAAACCAAAGAAGATCAAAACATCAAGTTGTTTCAAGGAGAAATGCTTGGACTAGGCCAAAATAAACATTTTCAAAAATAACTGGCAATTAGAAAGAAACTTGATTGCTGATGAAGCCAACCTTGAGATATTGGCAGTAGGAGGAGCATGTAAGTGTGTGGACCAGCAGGAGAGCTAGAAGACCAATGAGTGACGATGTAACATCAACTCAGCTTTACGTAGCAAAATGTAAATACAGAGAGTTTATCTTGCACAACAGCCACAAAAAAGGCATGACTTCTTACCCTCTTGTGAGTTGAAGGCTCACAGAGAACCATTTCAACGTGTGTGACAGTGATAAGCAATGCAATAATTCTCACCCCATCACCACTTGCCATCCAGAAGCTGAACCACCAATTGCTGAAGACTGAGGATCCTGCCAACAGGAGCTTATTCAGGAGGATAATGAAGGAAACTGTGTAGCCTGTAACAACAATGAGCAGTTTATGCATCACGAGTTTGGCTGTGTATTATTGCTCATAATAATGTATACACAAGCATATGCAGCATTGGGAAACAGGAGTTAGAGGAAGAATTCACAGTGTACTCAGTGGTAGTTATATGGGGGAAAATCAAATGAAAGCTACTGATTAATATGTTATGTTGACTTGAATTTTAATATCTGACCGATTCTCTTGTTTGCTCTAAACAACCAGAGTCTGGAGTAGTTCTTGGTCTCACAAATCCATTCTTGTGAAGCGTTGTAGCGATTTATCTTCTTTGAGACTACAATTCTTGACTTTGCCAAGTTGTTAACAAGTGTCTTGGCAGTTGTGAGGGGATGTTTAGAACCCAGTATATATAGCCAAGCTTGTTTAACACCAGTAAAAAGGCTAATATCGAATCTTTTATTTTAAACTTAAAAATAAATTAAAAACTGACATGCAATAACTTTCTGTGCATTGATAAAACAATTTATAAACAAAAAACATTTAAAATGAAAATATGCAATTTAATTTCATACATAACCCCCAACACTCCATGTGTGAATAACAGACCTCCAAGTGCCTGGGAGTATGTGCGGTATATTCTCCAGGAGATGGCACCTTTTGTAGAGGACTCCTGACTCACTAGCCGATTACCAGCTGGGACAGCGGCTTAAAAACAAAACAAACGTATCATTATAGAATGAAAAAGAAAAATACATATTTTTATTAGCTGACATCTAATATCTGAATTAATTTTTTTTAAACTTGCTCTTCAGGGAAAATATGTCAGTTTAAATCAAATGTTTTTCTTCCATGCTTTCACACCAGGATTCTCAGTGCCAGTGCTTGCACAATGTCCGAGGTCAATCTCGTCCAACTGGCCATCAATAAATGATGCTAGTGCCCCAGCTTTCTTTTTCTTGGTCTGACAGAAGAAAAATAAATAAATAAATATCAGGGACAGTCTTACAGCTCAGTCTGGATAAGCTTAAAACATTGACACTTATGGAACGCACACTTTGTTTTACAGTCAACAATAAGGAAAGTAATAGAACCATGATACATGACACCCTTACTTTGGACTCTCCCATCTGGTAGGTACTGATGAGCTGAGTATAGCGTCCATCGGCTCTCATCAGATCCCTGTGGTTTCCAGACTCCGATACCGTTCCATTGTCCAGAACCAGGATCTCATCACAGAACTCTAAATACTAAAAGCCACAAGGAAGAGCAAATTATCAAAACCAGCTCAACTCTGGTTAGAGCTCTAAACAGCTGTGTGCGTTACTGGCATGTGACAAATCCTTATTCTTTGGAAAAATTGCACCTTACAACTCATGAGCAAAATATGTAGGTCTTCCATACGTACTCAGCTATGTTTCTTTAAACCAGAGCTTCCTAAAGTGTGGGGCCCGCCCAGTATGAAAAGGGGGGAAAATAAAGAAGAAGAAAA